ATGTTTCACTTGTATTTGTTCTTTTCTTGTTTATTTAACTTCCAATTAAAGTTCCATCCCCGGAGGCTAAGAATGTTTCAAATTGTAGTAGCAGTTGGTGATATGATATGCAAACAACTTCTATTTGCAATTTAGCATTTTATCTATTTTCATCGTCGTACGAATACAAAACAACAATTAAAATGAAAGTACTTTTAAATCTTCTTAGTAAACCCAGTGTGAAAGGTTCACTTGTTTTGAAAAAATAATAGTTAGGTAATTTTGGAAAGAGTGGACATTTTAAATCTGTACTTTTACTTTTAGTTTACAAAATACTGAACTAAATATTTTGAAGAAAATAACTTACTTACGATGAGTCAGTTTGCTTTTAGATATTTCAGCGATAGTATCCGAATAAATACAATTATTAGGTATTTGTTTTTAAAGCTGTTTTTGTATAAATTTACTCCAGATGGTGTTAATTTAATTCAATCGTATCTTCTTTTCGGAAGCTAAAGTAGTTTATCTTGATGTACCTACTTCAAGAAACTATATTAGGTCTGGTGTTGTTTTTGATTTACATGAGTGACTTATCTGAATTTATTCTTACATCATTGCACACAATAAATATAAATATAGAAATGTTTTATCTAAATATCCAAGACTTGTTGGCTGATAAACTAAACCCTAATAAAGAAAAGAATTATTTTTTCTTTAAAAAAGTCTGAAAAATGTATTCCTTCAAAATGTGCTTGACCTAAAAATTGCAATTTCATTCAATAAGGGTACTACCTGCGTACCGCCGCAATTTACGTAGACCTTTCTGGGACACCGCAAGGCGAAAGATCCGTTGTAATTTACAAGTACAGTCCGATTCCTTTAACTTTGGCAGTGTCGTAAAGTAATAGCAAAAAAAGACATCTGGGATGGTTACGTTTATGTCTACAATGGGTGCAGACCGTTTCAAGCTTTCAAAAAAAAACTGACCATGGTTTTACGACACTTTCCCAAAATTAAAAGAATCAGACTCTTGGCATTTAAAGTCTTTTTTCGTCAGCTGCAGTTTACATTTGCCGATAGAGGCACGATTCAAACATGGCAGAGCCGCATATTTGTGATTTGTTAATGTTTGAAAATACGCAGGAAATGAAAATTACAACTAAATAAAATGTAAAGCTTTTAAATTAAAAAAATCGTGTTTTCTTTTAAAAAAATTATCGATTTCTTATTTAAAAAAAAAACCGATTTTTTTCCAACCCTGGTTTCTTTTAATAATTAGAATATCGAACAAGAGTGATTGCAGTAAAAATTTGTCCAAGGTATTAGACAGAAAATCATTTGCTCCTCCCCGCCATGACAAGAAATTCGGCTTCTACATTAAAAAATCAGGCCTTCAGAATCGATCAGACGCCTATAAAGTACGGCGTTTGTACACTAATACCAAATTAAAAATAATTCGGATGTCTCAGTTATAAAATTTAAATAACATTTACTATGCAAAATTTTTAGGTGACGTGATTAAATTATTGGCGAGAATGGTAAAACAAATTTTGGTTAGCGTTTTACCATTGCACAATATTCCTAAAATAAAATTTACAGTCGGTCCTGTTTTGAAAATTACCTGCCTAATAAATGTCGACACGAGAAACGGAAGACAAATTTTTTTATACTCTTGGGATCATAAAATATTGAGAAAACATGGGGTGGGCCCGATTGCAATACTTCCCTAACCTAGATTGAGCAAGTAAAACTAAAAACAGATTCATAAACACAAGTATAGAATATGTTATTTTATGAACTTTACAACATACCATTTGAGGTAACATCATCAAATTATTAGTGTCGATCAATAGACAACTTATGGACATGTTATTCCTGCAAAACGTGCAAAATTTTATAACAATCAGTCTAGTAGTTTTGGAGATTATCTGTATGATGAAATCGAAACGCCCCACAAACTGACGACAGACAGTCGGAAACGGAGGACCTATTTTTTCATACTATTGGGATCATGAAACGTCTTGAAAACATAAAAGTAACTGGCCCCTCGATGGTTCCTAGTTTATGCTCGGGAAGTAAAAATTTCAAGTTTTTGTTTTTTTTTTTATTTCTGTTTAAACGTGTATAAACAAACACTTTGTATTTATAGCGCAAATACAATTATTATTGTTAATGTTATTATTATTTTAGTATCTAGTAACAAATAATACCTAAAATAAAATTAATTTATTATTCAGGTTCGCTATAATTTAGAAGAGAAAAATTTTAATTTCATAAATAGAAGCTGCCCAAGTAAAATTATTCTAATATAGTGTTTTTTCAACGACACAATACCTAAAATATAATTCTTAATCGCAAATTCACCGTTTGATATTTTAAGCATTTTATTGCAGAAAGAAGAGTATGTATATTACGAACAGAAAGACAATGGATAAGCCCCACCCACCCACCCCATCTCAAATGTGATTTATTTTTTTATTCATCGTTAGCCGGGGGGCGGAGTTTAAATGCAGACTTTATATTTCTCTACAAGAAATTATATATAAAATATATATAGTTTAAGTATCGTGTTAATGAAGGAAAACTATACATACTAAGAAAAAGAAATAAAAAATTAAGCCCCCGGAGCTTAATTGCAAAATCTCTATTTCTTAACAAGAAATTACCATGTGAAACATGACCAGAGTTGCCAGATCTACCAATTTACGCTAGAGTAGAGTAGTTTTTTTATGTTCTGCCTTTTTTCTTAATATACGTAGTCTCTTTTCGTAACAAATTAATTCAAACAAAAGTGGTGACTTTTTGTAGACAAATATGGATTTTGCAATTAAGCTCCGCCCCTCGATCTGACAACAAATGAAAAATTCAGCACAATTGAGATCGGGGTGGGTGGGCGGGGTTTAATTTTTGGCTTCTTTTTCTTAATGTATATACCGTTTGATAGTTTAAGTATTATACTGTTTGTGGCGGCACAATAATACTTAGTAGTAAGCGAGGAAATATAAGCTCCTCCGTAGTCTAGTGGTAAGGGCACCCGCCCGGCAAGTGGTAAACGTGCGGTTCGATTCCCACCGAAGAAGCAACATTTTTCTTCGCTTACCTACATGTTGAAAGAAGACTGTATTACGAAAAGAAAGTGAAGCCCCACCCACCCGCCCCTATCTCAATTGTGACGAATTTTATTATTCGTCGTGAGCTGGGGGGCGGAGCTTAATTGCAAAATCTCTATTTCTTTAGAAGAAATTATCATCCGAAACGTCACCAGAGTTGACAAATCTACCAATTCGATATCTCCTTGTACATTTGTGAAAATGAAAACAATAATTTTCATTCCCTGATTTTTTCTCAAAATAGTCCATTTTCAACAATAGATTGTAGATGTCAAACAGCTAACCAAAATTTGTCTAATCATTCCCACTAATAATTTGAATCACCTTAGAATTTGGCATGGTAAAGCTGTTTAAATTAAAATATATATGTAACCCCGTACTTGTGGCTTATGAATCCGCTTTGATTTTGACCTTTGGCATTTCTTTTCTTTAAAAACATACAGTCCCCCGTCTTGGCTTGTATTGGATCTCGGCAACTACTTGGTGGACTGATTTTAGAAACATTTTAGGTGTAGTTTATGATAAAATTAGTGTTAACTCTACAGAGTGTTCTCTTCTTCATTTTCTGAAATGAAACACCCTATATATTTTTACGTATTTTGATTGATCTCTTTTTAGGCTTTACCACCACTGTTTATTTTTTAAATTCGGATGTTGCCACATTATTTAAATTTTTTTGAAATTTTTTAGCAATGGAAGGGTTCACAAAAAATCGCCGTAGGGTCATCTTTAAAATCGGTGTTACAATATTTTGTGGAAAGATAAAAAAAGGTACCCGCTTTGTTGTCGTATAAATAAAATTGAATCTTCATATACATGGTGTTTCTACATATAAGGTTGATTGTTACTGCGATTTTTTACTTTCTTAAGAGACACGTGGACATATTGCAAGAATTGGAACATAAAGTAGAGTAAGATGCAATAATAAGATATAGGGTGTTATATTTGAAAAAACTAAAATATCGATATTTGAAAACTATTAAATTGGAGATTTTTTATAACACACTGTATACTAAAAATGCATTTAATTGGTACCACGTGGGACTTTGCATCGGAATTTTGAAAATAAACTGTGAGAATGGGAACATGTAAAAATATATGGGGTGTTCTATTAAAAAAAATAAATTGCGTGTTATGCCTCAAAAGCAAAACACTATGTACAGTTCAAAATAATTTTAGCATATGCTGCTAAAAAAACTGTAGAACTTTGGTGCGTAACTTATTTTTTATCTCTAATAGTAATTAGTATATCGAGGTCCGCGCACTTGGTAACTCACCCTATATATATGTGGATTGTACTGCTTTAGATTAAGATACAGTAATTATGTTAAAAAATAAAGTTAATAAAATCAAAATTACACCCTTGTACCCTTCTCTCACTCAGAATATTAGCTGTTGATGTGATATTAAACATTCAGTAAAAAATACACTAAAAAACTACTAAAATTACACAGCGGACTTTTTTTAATTTAGGAAAATTGATTTAGGAAATACAGAATATTAACAGAATTTTGTTCATTCATTGATCTCTTCCAAGAAATTGACGTCATCTGCAAATTATGTTGAGTAAATTCCATCTCACCTGAAACGTGAATGATATAGCAATTTGTATGTGTAACAATAATAAACCATCAATAATTAATTAAATTAAAAAAATAATCACCTTAAATGGATGAATTGCTTAACGAAAAGTATTGCGGAAAAATTGGCTGTGATTTTTTCGTCAGGAAATCTTCGCAAAAATTTGCATTTTGACATGTAGTGGTTACGCTTCACAGGACGAGGGAAGTAGTGTCTACTAAAGTCTGCACAAATTTCTTAATAGTTGTAATTTTTCCCTCCGTTTTACTTAAATATCTTCAAGAATTTATGATTACTACTATTATTATTATTATTATTATTTTGTTTCAGAAACTAGAAATAAGAAACCAACCATGAAAACCCGCTAACCCACACGAATCGCAAGCAAACGATCTCACTACTTTTAAGGCTCCTATCAACGCCAAGACGCAATCCTCAAGCTCAGTCAATGTTCCTGAAGAGATAGCAAGAACGCACGACGGGACCGTCGGTCTGCGCGGGCATCCAGTGGCGTAGTTAAAACGGCTTAATCATTGGCGTAGAGATTGCACCTTCCCTTTGCCCGATGGGGGGCGACACCTCCCCCGAGCAGCAATACTCGCTGCGCTGGAATGACTTCCATTCGTCGATTCTGTCGTCGTTTCGACACTTGCGAGATGAAGAAGACTTCGTCGATGTCACGTTGGCCTGTGATGGATGTTCGTTTACGGCACACAAAGTTGTGCTGTCGGCGTGTAGTCCCTACTTTAGGAGGTTGCTCAAAGCGAATCCCTGCCAGCATCCCATCGTTATCCTTAGGGATGTACAGCAAAAAGACATGGAAAGTCTGTTAAGGTAAGGTGGTGGTGTGTTTGATTCGGATTGAGAAAGATGAAAATTAGGGGTTAGAGGTGGTGTCGAAGGACGCCGTGTCGAAATTGAGTAGTTTTGGGATTTGTCGTGGCGTGAAAAAGTAGAGGCTGTCTACGTGCTGTGTATGGATTTGTATCTGCTTTATTGGTAATTGTTGGTGCATTGTAGAGGATATGGGCAGTGGGCGACAATGCAAATTTACAAGGTGTCACGTCGAGTTTGATCACACAAGCTTTCAGCACCTTTTTCAACCACTTTCACTACTTTTGCTACCACAAAACGTAGTTGCCAAAATTTTTGACCGATAGTGTCGATCTTGGAATTGAAAACTAGTCAACACAAAAGTTACTAAAGTACGCAACCTTGTTTTAATTTAAATATATAAAAACTGGCTCCGGCTTCTTAGAAGAGTTTACAGATATAAATTCGATCACATATTTTTTAAGGTTAGGTAACGCGGGTAAAATTAGCCGAAACCCTAATGAAAATATAAATGTGTTACGTATTTTTCCGTAGTAAACAGCGCGAGATTTATCTAGTGTGTACTATCGTAGTCGATTTACAAAAATAGAATTATTTCAGTGTGAGAGTCGTGTTTTTAAATTTTAATTTTCCTCAAATTGAATTTCAATTTATCGTTGCGTAAAGTTGTTTGCGTTTAGAGTTATCTATTAATTTATAAATTGAAACCTTATAAGTGTATGGAAACATGAAATTTAAATTTCTTGTTTTCCCACCTTAAGGTGGGTCTTACGAACAACGGTAAATGTCTCGGTAAACAGAATATTTGTCAACACTAGCAAAACAAGGAAGGTAGTTTTGCATTTTTTATCCATAATGGTCGGTTTGGTGACACGGGTTTGCGTAACCTGGGTTTAGGTTATGGTAACCCTAAAGTTTTGAAGCTTGACACCTTGATGGCGCTGTAGTACAACTGTCAGTCAAGTTTGGGTGCCATTTTTTTGATTTTTGAAATTTTCGGTACATTTTCAGAGTGTACCCATTGTTAACAAACTTATTATTATGAAATTTTAAATACAATCTGTTCACGATTTTTACATGTAACGCAAGGGTATTTTTTGTGAACAATTTATCATCTTAAAATTTTGGTGAAATTTTCCATCACGTTTCTTTAAAAATGTATCTCAATCAATTTTAGAAATTTTGTGTTTTATGAATCCATATACTGCTGTGTTTAATTGACATTTCCGCGTTGTCAACTGTCATCGATTAAATTTTAGGTTAACTGTGGACATAATTCACAAAGTTTACAAACAAATCATGGCTAACTTGATGACTTTTCCAATTGAACACCCGATATCTGAAAAATGCTGAAAAGAACATTTTACAAAGAAACCTTGAAAAATCGTATTGAAAAAAAAACGCAATTCCATCTTAAAGTTGCCTTTTTAGAGTTTTAACTGTCACACTTTTCAGAAGATTGTTTTGTTAACATTTTCTCCCAACGACTATTTAGAAACGCACGCCTGAAACAAAATTTCAGTAACAATCAAGGAAAAGTACAGTGTACATTTCACACGGAGCATTTATTTCTCATTTACACTAATTGGGTATAATACATTATTTACTACAGCTAGTTCGGAAATGATTTATTATGTACAGGGTGTTTACTAAATATGCGGTAAAAATTCTGGGAGTTATTCCTTGGTTTATCTTAAGATTTTTTTGTTCTTGAATGAGCGCTAAAAGTAAAGTAAAACTAGGTCTTACTGCAAATATATGAAGATCGCTGGATTGCTTGAGGTGGACCTCACTTATGGGCTGCTCGATCTCCAGACTTAAATCACTTGGATTTTTACCTATGGAGCCATTTGAAAACGATAGTGTACACTACTATAGTGGAAAATGAAGAATATTTGAGAAAAGGGGTGTAATGCAATAAGAAACTACCCTGGTCAATGGAAAAAAATTAAATCCTAATTGTAGCTAGCCATTTTCACCAGTTTTTGTAGATTAAAATTTTTTACATGTAATATGAAAGTATTGTAATTGAGTCCGTCGGCCAACCATCTACTTTTATGTTGTCTCCACCTTCCATGACCCCTAGAGTACGAAGAAATAAGCACTGGAATGAAGAGGGGGCGGGTGGGCGGGACTGTTGCTTGCTTATACAAGATTCTGTAGGAAAAAGTTAAACTTAGCCCTCTTCATTCCAGTGATTACTCTTAATATTGTTCAGTCATTTATCAAAATCAATCTTATCTTAACAAGTACTAGCCCGCCCACCCGCCCTCTCTTTTATTAGGGGGTATGTAATTTGCCACGGTCAGTCTTATCTTAGCAAGTATTATACTGCACCAATTCAAGTTCATATACGTGTTCTTGAAAAAATGTTGATGTCAGCACAAAATTGTGTAAAGTAAAAACTCAACTCGAAAATGCTAGATATGTTTCATTGTACTTTCGGTGCGAGGGAAGTTCTGTCGAAACAACTTTCGACCAATTTTTTGGAAAAGCTTTTATCGCCTTTTATCTTCGAAACAAAGCGTCTTTCCCAAAATCATTCAAGCACAAAAAAATCTTAAAAGTAACCCAAGGAATCACCCACTGAATTTTTGTCGCATGTTTAGTAAACACCCTGTATATGTGCGTAGAATTTTGGTAATAGTTATAGGAAAAGTATTTTATCCTCATTTTATTTATAAATTATTTTTAAAAACGTTTTGTTACTAGAAGTTTAAAAACTTCCGTAAAAATAACTTATAGAAGGTCTAAAAAAATATGTTTGAATCTACGTAGGTTTAATTTCAAATTTAGAAAATAAGATTTATTAAAATGCAAAAAATTCTAGGGTTAACTATAAGTAAAAAAAATGTTTTTAGTATCGCATCAAACTACAAAAGCTGTATTTTAGGTACTAGTACGAAAAATAACTATTTTTTGGTTTGAATCCGAAAAAACTCATTCTACGGACTTAAATGAGTCCGTAAAATAACTATTTTTGGGAGCGTATACTAACAATACAATTTTTGGGAAACAGGTTGCTTTTACTCTATTTCATTTCAAAAAAACTCGACAATATTTGTCCTATATTTCCTAAAGTTTTGTAAGCTGAAAACAGTGGTGAAAATCGCGTTCCGAAATTTTTGTAAATAATAATGATTTATGAAAATGAGTGAAAATTACGATGTTTAAAAAAAAAATTCTGTGTATTATTTGGACAAAGTTGTGGACAAGGTCTATTGATAATTCCATAACTTCATTATGTAAATTTTACACTGTGAAAATGTACTGAAAAATCCAAAGTACTTTTTTATCTGGAAATTTATTGAGTAACCCTAAAAAGCAAAATGAGAAGGTGATATCGGTTAGGAAAGAGATTTTTATTAGTTGTCAGCTGCTTATATTGTACAGGGTGTCTCTTTTATTTGATACAACCCCTGTAACTTTTTTATTCTTAAAGATAAACCTGTACTTCTTTGAGCAAATTTGTATCATTTTAAACGATCTATGTGATGATAACCACGCATTTTTATTATCACTTTCGGTAGAGACGGAAATGACATCAACTTAATTTTTTTTAACGGAACACTAGGTATATTTTTTCTTAAATGGAAAGATTGATTTTTTACTACAAAAAATCAAAAGCAACCAATATTCTAAAATCAACAACAAACATGCTATTTAGTAAATATCTCAAAAATTTTTCATTTAATTCAAAATCTAGTTGCTTGAAAAACAATTGAAAAGTTGTTGCCATCAGATAGATCTTTTAAAATGATACAAGTTTGTCAAACAACTACAGGCTTAGGATAAAAAAATTACAGCGGTTGTATCAAATAAAAGAGACACCCGGTATAGTTTTCATTCATGAGTCACCTATGAATTGAAAAGGTGATCGAGTTGGCTTTGATTTTTTGACATTGTGAAGTCTGTCAACAATAACCCTAAAATTCAATCCATGACAGCTGACAACGCGAGAATGTCAGTTATACAATAGGGCTTAATAAAACACAACATTTTTAGACACGTTTTCATCTGCCAAAAAAGCAACGCCAACTTGATGACTTTTTCAATTGAACACCCGTTATATCGTGTCAACTAAGTGTAAACCAAAAACATCGTATTTTATTTTCTACACCACAGAATTCAAAGAAATTTTCTGGAGCAAAATTGAAATATAAAAGCAATTTGGTTTCTGAAGTAGTGACAAATATATATTTCAAAAGCAAAACCTATATTTTGAAAATCTATAATCGTGAAGGTATTTGACTGATCTTGTTTATAAATAGGTACAGAATAAACACATTAAAAAAAAAAACAGTATACCTATAAAATTTGCGTTATAGAGGTTTAGTGGGTACTTTTGTCAGCAGACGGTGACGTAAGTGTTTTTTCCTTAACTCGTTTGGAAAAGTGCTCATTATATACCCATCGAAAACTACTCGTGCGAAATGACTTACTTTTTATAATTGTGGAGTATATTATTTCTTACGATTGTTTAGCAAAATTCTCATTGTATGTGTGTGTGCCACTCGATTGTAGAAAAAGTGTTGGGTACAGCTAAAGTTATTAATTTCGTACGAATATGACACTGAATCCGTTAATTTAGTTGTAAGTGCGTATTTTCTAAAGTAAACTTAAATAGATAACTTTAAAGCACAATTTTAATGGTATTTACGATACCTACATTTTAAGTTATTTCTTTTATTGATAAGATTTCACTCTCTTTTAATTTTTAATGTTACAACTTTTTTGTTGCCCTTTTTAGGTACTTTAATTATATTTTCTACTATTTTGTAGCCAATTAGGAACAACAAAAAATCGGAGAAACTTTAATACCAATGAATTAATTTTCGAAAATGGTCTAAAAATGTTATGCTGCAATTGACCTTTTTGACACTGGATACTTTAGAACAAAGAAGTGTCACTTTAAGCTATTTTAAAAATGTGGTGTCTTCGAAGCAACGCACGGAAGCGTTGGTTTTGGTTTTCTAAAACCATTTAAACGAATATTTTTCTAATTAGAGTCGAGTCGCCTTTAGCCCACGTGTAACACGACACTTCGGTATTTTAATCAAACAACCAACTGTATGTTATACCAATCAGCTCCTCGTATTCCGACCGAAAAGAAGTCGGATAAACCGGAGATTTGAATCTTTCCATTGCAGGTGTCATTTAAGTGATATATTCCTACCATCTCGTGACAGCTTTCATACTTCAGATATCTTGTTTAGCGCTCAAAATGGAACCCGCCATGCGTGAACTATCCTTTAATAAATGTAATTAAAACCTGACTTTTTGTTCCAGGTTTATGTACAATGGGGAAGTACACATAGGGCAAGAACAACTTACGGATTTTTTAAAGACTGCACAAATGTTACAAGTGAGGGGGTTAGCTGACGTACCAGCCGGTACTGCAGGACAAAGACTGACTGCTCCAGAGCAAAAGATCTCACCTGTAAGTTTTTTAGGCGAATTTACATCCAGTCACGCGTAGCGAGGCGAAAATCAAATAAACAGGAAAAAATGCATTTGAATTGTTCGTGTGTTAACCGGGGGCAATTAGAACCTTACGACACAATACGACGTTTGCTTTCAATGCCTTGCATATTATTTACCGAAACTTGATCATACAACCTTGGATTTTATATTACTTTATATGTTAATACGTCTAAATTGTTATTTAGCAAAGTTGTAATAAATTTTGGCACCAATTAAATCCGTTCAACATGCTATCGGACTCGCTCAATTATAGTTTGCGCGCAACCTTGTATTTTGTTTTAGATAATTTTCTAATTAAAGGCGATTTTCGGGGAAAAGCGCAAAAAACTTTTCAGGACTGTGATGAAGAGATGACTGTGAAATATGGTAGCAGGAGCGAAACCAACCCGTAAGAATTCGCGGCGAACTACCCAAATGACAGGTTTTTTCATATCTCGGGTCGATTTAAACCCACACCTAACCTGTAGACAAGGTTCAATTGTAATAAAAAAACAAAGGTGCTTGCCGAAAGTCAAATAATAAGACCTTTATTTCCTGAAATGTTATCATTATCACCTTTGGAATAGCTCATTAAATAAACGATTCGTGTTCAGTCTGCTGAAGATCGAATTTTGTAAAAAAAAAATGTCAACAGGTTGTTTTTGGTGTGCCTGTGCATGTTTTCGGCACTCTGAATTTAATATTAAAATAAAAAAGTAACTATTGCCGTCTGTGTGTCTGTCGTCTGTCGGTTTACGATTTTACTAGATGTACATCCCATTCATAGATTTTTGGAGAAACTAAGCAACTATTAAACTTTGCTAATTTGTCTATAATCCCCACTGAAATTTTGGTGACGTCACCTCAAAAATGTGCCAAGTATCTACTATTTCAAATGCCTAAAATAATGCGGCTATACCTGTTGTTGACTAATCCATCCACCCACCTTTTTTGTGGATTGTCTGTGCTATTTTTTGAGCCAATTTGTTAAGAATATAAAATTTGCTTTAAAAAATCTTACTATTATTTACTGTTAAACAGTTGAGGCGTGTGTATGGCTCACGTTTTAAAGATAATTGTAATTTTTTTCATAGCGACTAGCAACGTAAACGTTTGATTTGTTTTTAATCGGACCACTTTAACGAATTTCATTTTTTCTCGACACAATTATTACAGCTTGTGAATTGCTGGTAAATTTAAGTGTAAAATTATTCTGCAAATGGTAAAACGCCTACTAAATTTTGCTGACTAATAAGTCGCGCTTAAATTATTTTTTTTAATTTTACACTCAAGTTTTTGTAGTATAATTTACAATTTATTTTACAATTTTACAGTTTATCTTAGAACCTACCGTACTCTTTTGGAACACATTAAGCTTGATCCAGTGACTACTGGACTAAAATGTACCTATTTATATCTTTCAGTATATCATGAGATGTTTATTATTAAAAATATTGTGATTCAATCAATTGTATTTTGATTCTCGTTTGAGTCAAAAATTGGTCTAAGACTATTTAGATAGAACTTCCCTCGCCCCCGAAGTACAGCCCAATAAATCGCGAAATTTTGTTATTTTTATAATATATCTAGTAATTAAAAAAAAATTATAAATTAGTCACAGTGAAATAAAAAAAGCCGCATAAGATAATCGAACTCACGACCTTCGTTACTTTTAAATTTGTTATTCAGTTTGTATTTTTTTTTGCGGAAATTTAGATACCAAGAGAAAAAACTGACGACGGATTCATAAACCACCAGTACAGGAGTGTGCTGTTTTATAAGATTTCGGTAACAGATACCACACACAACTTTGAGGTGACGTCATCAAAGTGGTAGTGGAGATGATAAAAGCAACAAAGAAGACAAAGAGAAATGAACAAAAACCACAAAAAACGCCACTACTAAAGTGATTCATAAATAGAGCCATATAGTGCGGTCACAAAAGGCGACGACAAGAAGGGGATCGAAAAAGGCGACAAAAACAAAAGCAGTGAACAAAAAAAAGTGACAAAAAAGCGACAAAATTTCAACAAAAACACGCAACACAAATATGAAAAAAGAAAGATGATTAAAAAATTAAAATACAACAAAAAATGGAAAAAAAGAGGCGACAAAAAGTGACACAAAAAGAAACGACTACAAAAATGATAAAACGAGTCCACAAAAAAAGAACAAAAGGGACAAAGAAACCCATCAAAAATGCGACAAAAATGTGAAAACAGACAACAAAAAAAATTAAAAAAAAGCTAAAAAAAGACCATGACAAAAGTATTTTAGAAAGAGGGCCAAAGATTTGACCAAGATGATACGACTAAAGGAAGAGAGTCAAAAAAAAGGTGTCAAAAAAGTCAGAAAAGAATGCAACAAAAAATATATAGAAAACCGACACAGAGGACAAAAAATATTTCCCAAAAAAAAAACAAAAAAAAAGTGACAAAAAATGATTTAAAAAAAGGAAGAAGGCTACAAAAAAGTCCACAAAAATATAACAAAAAAAATTCAAATATGTATATATGAGTAGGTTATTTTAGGAAATTTGAACAACATTACGCATCCACATTATATGCCTGGCAAACATACTACATATAAAATTTGAGAACAATTATTGGTTCGGTAGTTTCGAAGACTATCTAATAAACGTTTTTTTTTTTAAACATTTAAAACTCTCTTGAAGTTCTAGGTATTCGTTTTTGGAAAGAATTTGAAAGTGCTTTGTAGTGCGTTTTCTTTTAATAATTTAATTAAATTTCTTAGAGGATAAGTCATTTGCTAGAATTACTCTTATCTTAGCAGGTATTAGCCCCACCCACCCGCCCTCTATTTTCTTGGAAGGTATGTCATTTGCCGAAATCAGTTTTATCTTATTAAATACTAGCCCTTCCCACCCGCCCTCTATATTCTTGGAAGGTATTTGAAAGCGCTTTGGAACCGCTAATACTTTTCTTATAATAATTTAAATTTCTTACAGGATACGTCATTTGCTAAAATCAGTCTTACCTTACTAGCTTACTAACTCCACCCGCCCGCCCTCTATTTTACTAGAGAATATGTCATTTGCCAAAATCAGTCTTAACAGGTATTAGCCCCACTCACCTATCGTCTTTTTTCTTAGACGGTATATTTGCCAAAATCAGATTTATCTTATTAAATACTAGCCCCACCCACCCGCCCTCTATTTTCTTGGAAGGTATGTCATTTGCCAAAATTAGTTTTATCTTAGCAAGTACTAGCCCCGCCCACCCGCCCTCTATTTTCTTGGAAAGTATATCATTTGGCAAAACCAGTTTTATCTTATTAAATAGTAGCCCCTCCCATCCGCCCTCTATATTCTTGGAAGGTATTTGAAAGCGCTTTGGAGCGTCTAATGTCTTTTCTTATAATAATTTAAATTTTTTACAGGATACATCACTTGTTAAAATCAGTCTTACCTTATCAGATACTAGCCCCACCCGCCCGCCCTCTATTTTACTAGAGAATATGTCATTTGCCAAAATCAGTCTTAACAGGTACTAGCCCCACTCACCTATCGTCTTTTTTCTTAGAGGGTATGTCATTTGCCAAAATCAGTTTTATCTTAGCAAGTACTAGCCCCGCCCACCCACCCTCTATTTTCTTGGAAGGTATGGGATTTGCCAAAATCAGTTTTATCTTAGCAAGTACTAGCCCCGCCCACCCGCCCTCTATTTTCTTAGAGGGTTTCTCATTTGCTAAAATCATTCTTATCTTAGCAGTTACGGAAACGGAGGATCTATTTTTTGGTACTCTAGGGGGTCATTAAACGTCGACAAAATATGAAAATAGTCATTCGTTTGCGCTCAGAAAACAAAAATGCGTCACAGCTTTTTTCCAATATTCTAGAAACACAATAATATTTGTTCTTTGACAGTTGGGGTTTTGCAAAAAGTAAAGATGACATACAAAATTTGATTTTAAAAATTTGGACATTTTTTTTTAAATATTCCGAAAGCTAAAAATGTTAAAAAAATTCATACCGGGGGCATTGAAAAATTCAGATTTTTCAAAAGTTGTTTAAAAATTCTGGGACGAATTGATTCAAAATATGTGAGGTATTAGTGGTCCCGGGAGAAGATTTTCGAAAAATTTGGTTTGAAAATTAGTTTTTTTTATATTTCGATATTTCGGAACACTGAAAAAAAATTCATTGACAAATTGCAATTTTTTAAAAATTGCCTAAACATTCTCAAAAAATTCTGGGACATAAATGTCGACGAGCTGATTCGAGAAACAAAGTGTTGATGATTACGACCAATATTTTTGAAAAATTCAGTCTGGAAATTAATTTTTCTTAAATAATTCGAAAAACGGTCAAAAACTCATGGGAGGAGGGAGGTACTGAAAAACTGAAATTCTTAAAAAGTTACCTAACTATTCCAAAAAAATTCTGGGATCCCTGATCGACCTGACCTAACCGGACCTTGATGAGCTGATTTAAAAAGCAACATACGAATGGTGTATCAAAATTTTGAAAATGGTTTGAGTAAATGGCGCTTGAAATTTCATAAAATGATCGTTATCGTTTAATGCTCTATACTCTTTTTTACATTCGACTTGTGCGTTTTTGTAAAAAATATCCAAAAAATATGTATGTTTAAAAATCTTGCTACTTTGCTGTATAGAATGAATAAATAAACTAAAATAACAAAAAAATATACAAGGTATTGTCAAAGTATAGAACCTGTCAATTTCAAATAATTTTCTTAATGCAGATTTTCTCTAGTTATATAACTAGTTGGTGTTGCTATGTGGCAAAATTCAGTATGCGGTGACACAAAGTCAACAAAAAATTGACTCCCAAGTCGATAAATTTAAACCTTGAATAAAAACAGCTGCCAATTGTGCTGTGAATGAATTAAAATCGGCGTTGAATACGTGAGATTTCAAATCTAAACGTCAAGATTAGTTCAAAGAGCTCACTACAAAGCTGTTCCGAAAATTGGCTGTGTTTTTTTTTCCGAT